CCCCAATCCCCTCCCAGTCCCTCCCAATCCCCTCCCAGTCCCCCCCAGTCCCCCCCAGTATCCCCAGTATCCGCGCTGACCCGCCTGGCCTTGCTCTGGTACTTGACGGCTTTCTTGGTGTCGGACACGGCGCGCTCGACGTAATCCACCGAGTGCTCCACGTTGTACTCGATGCGGTCAATCATCTCCCCCTGGTCAGCCAGAGTGACCACTGGTCAGCCAGAGTGACCACTGGTCAGCCAGAGTGACCACTGGTCAGTGATAACGGCCATTGGTCAGTCAGAGTGACCGCTGGTCACTCGTAATCCACCGAGTGCTCCACGTTGTACTCGATGCGGTCAATCATCTCCCCCTGGTCATTCAGAGTGACCACTGGTCAGCCAGAGTGACCACTGGTCAGTGATAATGGCCATTGGTCAGCCAGAGTGACCACTGGTCAGTGATGGTCACCACTGGTCAGTGATAACGGCCATTGGTCAGTCAGAGTGACCACTGGTCAGTGATGGTCACCACTGGTCAGTGATAACGGCCATTGGTCAGTGATGGTCACCACTGGTCAGTGATAATGGCCATTGGTCAGTCAGAGTGACCGCTGGTCAGTGATGGTCACCACTGGTCAGTGATGATGGCCATTGGTCAGACAGAGTGACCACTGGTCAGTGATAATGGCCATTGGTCAGCCAGAGTGACCACTGGTCAGTCAGAGTGACCACTGGTCACTCCAAATGATCTGTAACCCTTCCTGATGACCAGGGGTCACTCAGGATGATCAGTGGTCACTCCTGATGACCCGTGGTCACTCCAATGACCTCTGGTCACTCCCAATGACCTGTAACCCTTCCTGATGACCCGTGGTCACTCAAGATGACCATTTGGGGGAATTTTGGGGGATTTCGGGAGGTTTTTTGTGAATTCCGGTGGAGGTTGGTGGATGTTGGTGAATTTCGGGCGGATTTTGGGCCGTTTTTGGTGGGTTTGGGCGGATTTCGGTGAATTTCAGTGGATTTTGTTGGATTTCGGTGAATTTTTGGTGGATTTCGGTGAATTTTGATGGGTTTTGATAAATTTGGGTGGATTTAGTTAATTTCCGGTGGATTTGGGTGAATTTGGGTGGATTTTGATGGATTTCGGGTGGATTTTGGGAAATTTCAGGGGATTTCAGTGAATTTTTGGTGGATTTTGGTGAATTTTGATGGGTTTTGATAAATTTGGGTGGATTTCGTTAATTTTCGGTGGATTTGGGTGGATTTTGGGTGGATTTCGGCAGATTTGGGTGGATTTTGGTAGAATTTGGGCGGATTTTGGGCCGTTTTTGGGTGGATTTTGGGTCAATTACGGGAAATTTCAGGGGATTTTGGGAAATTTCAGGCGATTTCGGTGAATTTTTGGTGGATTTTGGTGAATTTTGATGGGTTTTGATAAATTTGGGTGGATTTCGTTAATTTTCGGTGGATTTGGGTGGATTTTGGGTGGATTTTGGGAAATTTCAGGCGATTTTGGGAAATTTCAGGCGATTTCGGTGAATTTTTGGTGGATTTTGGGGGGATTTCGGCGGATTTGGGGGGATTTTGGTAGAATTTGGGCGGATTTTGGGCCGTTTTTGGGTGGATTTTGGGTCAATTACGGGAAATTTCAGGGGATTTTGGGAAATTTCAGGGGATTTCAGTGAATTTTTGGTGGATTTTGGGGGGATTTCGGCGGATTTGGGGGGATTTTGGTAGAATTTGGGCGGATTTTGGGCCGTTTTTGGGTGGATTTTGGGTCAATTACGGGAAATTTCAGGGGCTTTTGGGAAATTTCAGGGGATTTCAGTGAATTTTTGGTGGATTTTGGTGAATTTTGATGGGTTTTGATAAATTTGGGTGGATTTCGTTAATTTTTGGTGGATTTTGGTGAATTTTGATGGGTTTTGATAAATTTGGGTGGATTTCGTTAATTTTCGGTGGATTTTGGTGGATTTTGATGGATTTTGGGTGCATTTCGGTGAATTTTGATGAATTTTTATGAATTTCGGTGAATTTTGAGGAATTTTTATGAATTTTTGGTGAATTTTGAGGAATTTTTATGAATTTTTGGTGAATTTTGAGGAATTTTTATGAATTTCGGTGAATTTTGAGGCATTTTTTATGAATTTTTGGTGAATTTTGAGGAATTTTTATGAATTTCGGTGAATTTTGAGGAATTTTTATGAATTTCGGTGAATTTTGAGGAATTTTGGGTGAATTTGGGTAAATTTTGGGACGTCCCGGCAGCGGGGGAGGGGAGAGAGGAGAGAAGAGCGGAGCGTTACCGACCCCTCCCCCACCCTGGCCAGGGCCACCTTCCTGGCGGCCACTCCGGGGGCTCGGCGGCCATTTTGAGATCATGGCGGCCATTTTGAGATCATGGCGGCCATTTTGAATTCTTGGCAGCCATATTGAATTCTCGGCGGCCATATTGAATTCTCGGCTGCCATATTGAATTCTCGGCTGCCATATTGAATTCTTGGCTGCCATATTGAATTCTCGGCAGCCATATTGAATTCTTGGCGGCCATATTGAATTCTCGGCAGCCATATTGAATTCTTGGCGGCCATATTGAATTCTTGGCAACCATATTGAATTCTTGGTGGCCATATTGAATTCTTGGCGGCCATATTGAATTCTTGGCCGCCATATTGAATTCTTGGTGGCCACACTGGGTTTGTGGTGGCCACACCAATTTCCAGTTGCCCCCAGTGACCCCCAGTGGCCCCCACTGATCCCCAGTAGCCCCCAGTCCCTCCCAGTCGATCCCAGTAGCCCCAGTCACCCCCCAGTCCCTCCCAGTTTCCCCCAGTCTGTCCCGGTGCAGTGGTCACTCGAGATGACCCTTGGTGTGTCCAAGTGACCATCTGGGGGTTCTTGAGGACCCTCAATGGTCCAGATGACCGATGGTCACTCCCAATGACTCGTGGTCACTCGGGATGACCCGTGGTCACTCGGGATGACCCGTAGTCACTCCCAATGACCCGTGGTCACTCCCAATGACCCGTGGTCACTCCCAATGACCCGTGGTCACTCGGGATGACCCCGTGGTCACTCAGGATGACGCCGTGGTCACTCGGGATGAACAGTGGTCACTCGGGATGACCCGTAGTCACTCCCAATGACCCGTGGTCACTCCCAATGACCCATGGTCACTCGGGATGACCCGTGGTCACTCGGGATGACCCGTGGGTCACTCAGGATGACGCCGTGGTCACTCGGGATGAACAGTGGTCACTCGGGATGACCCGTAGTCACTCCCAATGACCCGTGGTCACTCCCAATGACCCATGGTCACTCGGGATGACCCGTGGTCACTCGGGATGACCCGTGGTCACTCCCAATGACCTGTGGTCACTCCCAATGACCCGTGGTCACTCGGGATGACCAGTGGTCACTCGGGATGACCCTTGGCGGTCACCTGGCTCTCCACCAGCATGGCCATGTCCACGAACATGTCGTGCAGCTCGCGGATGCCCTTTGGTCACTCGGGATGACCCGTGGTCACTCCCAATGACTCGTGGTCACTCAGGATGACCCGTGGTCACTCGAGATGACCCGTGGTCACTCGGGATGACCCGTGGTCACTCGGGATGACCCTTGGCGGTCACCTGGCTCTCCACCAGCATGGCCATGTCCACGAACATGTCGTGCAGCTCGCGGATGCCCTTTGGTCACTCGGGATGACCCGTGGTCACTCGGGATGAGCAGTGGTCACTCGAGATGACCCTTGGTGTGTCCAAGTGACCATCTGGGGGTTCTTGAGGACGCCGTCACTCCCAATGACCCGTGGACACTCCGAATGACCCATGGTCACTCGGGATGACCCGTGGTCACTCGGGATGACCCGTGGTCACTCAGGATGACCCGTGGTCACTCAAGATGACCCTTGGTGTGTCCAAGTGACCATCTGGGGGTTCCTGAGGACCCTCAATGGTCCAGATGACCGATGGTCACTCCCGATGACCTCTGGTCACTCCCAATGACCCGTGGTCACTCGGGATGACCCATGGTCACTCGGGATGACCCTTGGCGGTCACCTGGCTCTCCACCAGCATGGCCATGTCCACGAACATGTCGTGCAGCTCGCGGATGCCCTTTGGTCACTCGGGATGACCCGTGGTCACTCGGGATGACCCGTGGTCACTCCCAATGACCCGTGGTCACTCGGGATGACCCTTGGCGGTCACCTGGCTCTCCACCAGCATGGCCATGTCCACGAACATGTCGTGCAGCTCGCGGATGCTGGTCTCCAGCTTGATGATCTCGTTGTGCCGCGTCTCGATCTCGTTCAGCGCCTGCTTGGTCATCTGCGAGTCCATCTTGATCTGCGGGGACAGCCGGGGTCACCTGGGGGCACCTGGGGGCACCTGGGATCACCTGGGGGCTCCTGGGGGCTCCTGGGGGCACCTGGGATCACCTGGGGGCAGCTGGGGGCACCTGGGGGCACCGGGGGTCACCCCGGGTCACCTGGGGTCACCTGGGGTCACCTGGGGGCACCTGGGGTCACCTGGGAGCACCTGGGGGCTCCTGGGGGCACCTGGGGTCACCTGGGGGCACCTGGGGGCAGCTGGGGTCACCCGGGGTCACCTGGGGGCACCTGGGGGCACCTGGGGTCACCTGGGGGCTCCTGGGGTCACCCGGGGTCACCTGGGGTCACCTGGGGTCACCCGGGGTCACCTGGTGGTCAGCTGGTCCTGGCGACCTTCAGGTGGTCACCCAGGATCTCCTGGTGGTCACCTGGGGTCTCCAGTAGCCCCAGTAGCCCCCAGTCCCTCCCAGTAGCCCCAGTGACCCCCTGGTGGCCGCAGTGGCCGCAGTGGTCACTCCCAGTCCCTCCCAGTAGCCCTGGTCAGCCCCGGTGCCCCCACGGTGGCCACAGTGGTCAGTCCCAGTGGCCGCAGTGACCCCTGGTCAGCCCCGGTGACCCCCAGTGACCCCCGGTCAGTCCCAGTGACCCCCAGTGACCCCTGGTCACCCCGGTGGCCGCAGTGACCCCTGGTCAGTCCCAGTGACCCCCGGTCAGTCCCGATGGCCGCAGTGACCCCTGGTCAGTCCCGGTGACCCCTGGTCACCCCGGTGACCCCCAGTGACCCCTGGTCAGCCCCGGTGACCCCCGGTCAGTCCCGGTGACCCCCAGTGGCCCCTGGTCACCCCGGTGGCCGCAGTGACCCCTGGTCAGTCCCGGTGACCCCTGGTCACCCCGGTGACCCCCAGTGACCCCTGGTCAGCCCCGGTGACCCCCGGTCAGTCCCGGTGACCCCCAGTGGCCCCTGGTCACCCCGGTGGCCGCAGTGACCCCTGGTCAGTCCCGGTGACCCCTGGTCACCCCGGTGACCCCCAGTGACCCCTGGTCAGCCCCGGTGACCCCCGGTCAGTCCCGGTGACCCCCAGTGGCCCCTGGTCACCCCGGTGGCCGCAGTGACCCCTGGTCAGTCCCGGTGACCCCTGGTCACCCCGGTGACCCCCAGTGACCCCTGGTCAGTCCCAGTGACCCCTGGTCCCTCCGGTGGCCATGGTGGCCGCAGCGGTCGCTCCCGGTAGCCCCAGTGACCCCCAGTGACCCCTGGTCAGTCCCAGTGACCCCTGGTCACTCCGGTGGCCATGGTGGCCGCAGCGGTCGCTCCCGGTAGCCCCAGTGACCCCCAGTGACCCCTGGTCAGTCCCAGTGACCCCTGGTCACTCCGGTGGCCATGGTGGCCGCAGCGGTCGCTCCCGGTAGCCCCAGTGACCCCCAGTGACCCCTGGTCAGTCCCAGTGACCCCTGGTCACTCCGGTGGCCATGGTGGCCGCAGCGGTCGCTCCCGGTAGCCCCAGTGACCCCCAGTGACCCCTGGTCAGTCCCAGTGACCCCTGGTCACTCCGGTGGCCATGGTGGCCGCAGCGGTCGCTCCCGGTAGCCCCAGTGACCCCCAGTGACCCCTGGTCAGTCCCAGTGACCCCAGTGACCCCTGGTCACTCCCAGTGACCCCCGGTCAGTCCCGGTGGCCGCAGTGACCCCTGGTCAGCCCGGTGGCCGCGGTGGCCGCAGCAGTCACTCCCGGTAGCCGCAGTGACCCCTGGTCACCCCGGTGACCCCCAGTGACCCCTGGTCAGTCCCAGTGACCCCTGGTCACTCCGGTGGCCATGGTGGCCGCAGCGGTCGCTCCCGGTAGCCCCAGTGACCCCCAGTGACCCCTGGTCAGTCCCAGTGACCCCTGGTCAGTCCCAGTGGCCCCCGGTCAGTCCCGGTGGCCCCAGTGACCCCTGGTCACTCCCAGTGACCCCCGGTCAGTCCCGGTGGCCGCAGTGACCCCTGGTCAGCCCGGTGGCCGCGGTGGCCGCAGCAGTCACTCCCGGTAGCCGCAGTGACCCCTGGTCACCCCGGTGACCCCCAGTGACCCCTGGTCAGTCCCAGTG